GCCGGCCCAGCCCCCAGCCGCCACCGCCGCCTCCTTGGGGTTTTCCGGCTCGGCGCGCCTCAAACGCCCTCGGCCGCCGCCCGCGCGGGCCTCTCCCGCCGCCCCGCCCGGGCCGCGCGGCACGGCTTTCTGATGAGTCAGCGGGAGCCCGGGAGCCTCCGCCGCCCCGGGCCGCTGCGCCGCTGACGCACGGTGACTCACGGGCGCCCGGGCCGCCGCCGCCGCCGCCGCCGAGCCCGCAGCGCCGAGCGCAGCCGGGCGCCCCCGGGCCGAGCCGAGCCCCGCAGCCCCCAGCCGGCTCCTCCCGCGGCCCGGCGCCCCCTCCCCCCGCCGCCCGCGCTCGGCCCCCGCCCCCTCCCCCCGGCCCCGCTCCAGGCTGACATCAGAGGCTGGCCGCCCTGCCACCCTCTGAGTCAACAGTTTCCGAAGCGGAGCCGGCTGCCAGGGCGGGGGGAAAGGGCGGCCTCCAGGGGAGGCGGCGAGGGGGCAGGCCCGGGGCTGGCCGCCGCGGGAGGGCGGAGGTGGGTGGGGACGAGCGGGGCCTTTACAAGAAGTCACGGGGAGGAGGGGGAAAGAGAGGACGAAAACCACCGTGCTGGGGCGCGGGCGGCAGGAACCCGGCGACCCCGGGCCACGTGCGGAAGCGGCGCTGGGCGGGTGGCTGGGCCCGCCCCCGAGTGTGGGAGGGAGCCGGGCAGAGGAGGCCCTTGCTGGGAACGGCCCTAGGCCAAGTTGGGGGGGTGGGAAAGAACCGCAGGTGGACACTCTCGGCTCCAGGGCCCCAGAGAACATTTGTGTCTGGATAAGGCGGCCCCAGGGCTCCAGGGAACATTTGTGTCTGGATAAGGCGGCCCAGTTCCCTTTGATGGGAGCGGCTCTGGCCCAGCCCCTGGGGTTGGCCCTGCCTGTTTGGAGTTGGACCTGAAGAAATGCACTGGTCTAGCCTAACTCCCTCCCCTCTCCGCGGTGGCATGGGGCTGGGGCTGGAGGCTCCCCACACCATATGCCCCTCAAAGAGGATGTCTGTCCAAGGGTAAAGGAGTTGGAGAGCCTCAGTAAACCAAGGGTGGGTGGCCCTCCGGTGAATGTAGGGGGAGAGTAGGAAGAAGGAACGAAGCAGAAAAAGAGGGAGGAAGTGTTTTTAGAACATGCAAAGGACTTAACTGGAATCCTTGGAAAGGTGAGTTTCCTACCACCTGAGAATTGGGCCAAAGCCCCCTGAGGAAAGAATGGATTAGCTGTAGGGAGGAATGAGAGACGAAGGAGTCTGGGCTTCTTCCTCTGGCTAACAAGGCTGGAGTGTCTCTGGGTGCTACGGTCTGCCTCTGAGTCCGTGTTTGGTAACCACTTTGAGAGGCTGCATCTTGCGGTTCTAGGATGCTCGAGGAGGGCAAAAGTCCCTTTAAAAAGCACCGACCTACAGTGACCTAAGCAGCGCCTGGAAGCTTCTTCAACCCAACAAGTTTCCCTGCTGCGTCAGACAGGAAGGGAGGGAGGAGCCAGGAGGACAGAGAGGGAGCAGACCTCCACAGGCACTTGGGTTTCCTCCCCTCTCTCTCCATCCCACCTCACCCACCATCCCATGACCCCCAAGATGAGCAAGACGCAACTGTCATTGGTGGGCCTCCAGCTGGAATTCATTCTCAGTCTCTTTCCGGGATTTAACTTGCTGTTCTTTCCAAAGCCATGGCTCAGCAAGGGATGCCAGCCCAGGAGGGGGGTGTCCGTGTCTCATCTTGCAGGCAGAAGTAGCACAACAGCTGGGTGAACAAAACCCGTCCGGATCTGTCCAGAGCTGTTTGTCAGTACAGCCTCACAAGAACCACGTGAGCTGCTTCTTGCCCCATATGACCCTTGTTCAAACTCGTGCAGAGCAAGAGCTTCCGGCCCCATCTCCTTGGGCAGCCTTTTCCCAAGTGTGCTGGTGGGTGGCTCATTTCTGCCAATCCAATCCAGCTCAAAATAGCATTGAACCAGACTTCTGGGAAGACTTGTGCTCCAGGCTTCTGTAGAAAAGAGTTAAAAATGACAGCTCTTGGGAAACCAAGGGATCTAATTTGCCAAGATGGGACAAGATGCAGAGCCCTGTGACATCAGAGGGCAGAAATAGTGGCTGGGGATCGGTATGGAAAGTGTTAGTTAGTGGTGGAAGGTCCTGGGCCCCCGCGTGGTTGCCCTTCGGGGAAGTTGGCGGGCTGGGCCAGTGGGGGTTGTCCTGGGAGCCAAGGCCAGGTGCAGGAGGGGGGCTGTGGCCGGATACTTAAGCCACAAACACCACAACCCCCAACTTCCACATTTTTTTTTCAGGCTGAGAACTTTCTTGGTATGGATTGCCTCCTCCACTGTTTCGAATTCTGATTTCTCATGTTTCTGACTTGAGCCTGGTTCAGTTGCCACCTTCTCTGTGAAGCTGCTTTCTCCCATTCCACCATCTGACTGCACTTGGCCCTCAGCACATCCACATAACTTTCACCATGCGTTGCTTGGCCTGAGAGGTTTTGCTGCATTCAACTTCCCTCTCCACCCAGACGCCCTCTGGGAGGCCCAGAGTTTCCTCTCTGCAGCTCCTTATTGGTGGAACTCCTGGGCAAGTGAATCAGCTGTCAACTCTGCCTTCCTCTGCCCCATGTCTGGTCTGATAGGCTTCCTTTGTGTGTGATGGAGCCCCCTGTTAGCTGTGTCTCCTTCCATGAGAGCCTTATCTTGTGTTTTGACCCAGTCTGCTCTTTTCCTGATGGTTCAGCCCAGGCTTTAGGACCCTGGCTCGTCATCCTGCTTGACTCCTAGCAGCCGTTCAGTAGGAAGAGTCTTTGTTCATTCCCTTAGCAATTGGAACTAGGGCAGAGGGTCTATGGCATATAAGTATACCTCACTAAGTCTGGCCCCTTGTGTGTTAATCCACACTCAGGAACACAGGTGGACTTCACTAAAGCAAACAGGTCCTGTGTAAATCTACATTCACACAAAAAACAAATTAGAGGCTGTGTCCCTTCACAAAACCGTCTTCAAAGAATACCATTAAATATAAGATCCTTCGTATGTGTTTAGAGGGCTCACTTTCCTTGCAACTCTTTGGGAACAGATGTATTTACTGAAAGTGAGATACAAGATCAGGAGATGAATGAACGGAGATGAGACTGTGTTCAAGGGTCATGTAACAATATTCTATATTACTGCAGATGCCAAAAAAGCTGCAGATGAAACTGAGCCAGACTAGGAACATCTCTCTCAAAAGGTTTGGCATAACTCCTCAAAACATCTGGGGTCCCTTGGCAGCATTTATCACTCCACTGACAAGGTAACTCTCTGAGGCCATCCTTGACCACATAACGGAGCAGAGAGCGGGGGTTCCGTGTTAGAAAATCTTGGCTCCATCTCTGGCTCTGCCCTGTCTGAGCTTTGCTCCCTTGGGCCACCTGCTGACCTGCTTGGGCCTTGGTTTCTTTACCTGTAAAATAGAGATCAATACACCTACCTCCTAGGACTCTTGTGATGACATCAGGAAGTAAGTGACAGCCGGTGGGCACTCAGTAAAGGACAGCTTAGAATGTTTTAGACTTTCTAACTGTTGGGGTAACAACTTCCTTAGGTGTATAATCTTCTCTATCTCGGGTTCTTTAGATCCAGGTTCTGTCCAGGGTCAAGAAGGTCAGCCTGAGAGAGCAATGAGCTCTTTTTCAGAAACCACTGGAGAAAAGACCAACATTTCTGGGAGAAGTAAGGAATTTGATAGCAGCATAATCTACCAATGAATTGTGGGTTTAGGGCCTGAGAGAAACCTGATAATGGATCAGTCTGAGGCCTAATCAAGTGACAAAGATGACCTTTGCCCAGACACTAGGTGAGTTTGAGCCACTGAATGAGGTTTTAATTCAGGAGGTGTTGAAAGAGCCTAATAAATACTATTCCATTGAGTCAAATCCAAGAGTTTGAAGAAAAATGCAAAGGTTACGTTTGGTGTGCCCCTCTATCATGTGTGATGTGCCCTTGAGGGAAAACACTAAACCAGACCCTGCTCTGATGGATGATGGGACCCAGAGCCCCGTGCCAGGCCCTGGACTCTTGCTCCTGTGAACAGAGAAATGTTGCCAGGAAGGACAGATTGACCGGCTGCGTTGGATGCCCTTCTGAGAGGGAGCATCTTTGCATCTCAGCTCTCCCTGACCCAGCCGACACCAATCCAGGGAACATATGGCATGTTAGTTTCCTAGGACTGTATAACCAAGCACCACAAACCGGGTATCTTAAAACGACAGAAATTTATTTGCTCAGAGTTCTGGAGGCTAGAGGTCTGAGATCACGGTGTCAGCAGGGCCATGTTCCCTTTGAGACCCTGGGTAGAATCTTTCCTTGTCTGCCTCACTTTAGTAGCTGGCAGTCCTTGGCAATCCTTGGCTTGCAGCTACGTGGCTCCCATCTCTGCCTCTGTTAGCACATGGCGTCCTCCCTGTGTGTCTGTGCCTTCACATGGCATTCTCTTCTTTACAAGGACACCAGTCATACTGGATAAGGGCCCACTCTAATTGCTTCTAACTTGATGATACCTACAAAGACCCTGTTTCCAAATAAGGTCACATTCACAGGTACTGGGCATTAGGACTCACAATGTCTTTTTCACGGAAACAGTTCAACCCATAACCTATGGGAAGAGTGATACTTTGATAAACAGATTGCAGCGCAGGCTGAGGGGACATCCCACTGTATACCGGCGAGGGGCAAACTGGGACAGCAGGTCAGCAGTCTGTCTGTCAGGGGCCTCGAAAACATTCATATTCTTTAATGCAGTGATTCCCTTCTAGGAATCCAGCTATAGGGAGTCATCAAAAATGTTGATAAAACTTTAGCAATGTTGAGATATTCATCTCAATATTGTTTATAATAATTAATTATTAGGAACAACTTTAACATCCCACAGTTATTAAAATAAGGCACATACACATGAGGGGGATATTATGTAGTCTTTAGAAATGATATTTCTGGAAAAAAATTAGGAACATGGGGAAAAATAAAATAAAATGATATATTTAGTATGGTGTCAACTTTATAAGAAATATACAAGGAAGAAAAGAACAGCATAATGTTAACAGTTTCCCCCCATCTTGTGGCAGGATTGTGAGTGATTTTGTTATTTTTTTTTTATTATGGCATCATATAAGTTGTCTGCATTAGCTTTATAACCAAGGAGAAAAAACCTAACATTATTTAAAAATAGATATATAGATATTTTCCTGGAATATACATTCCAGGGAAGGTCTGGCTGGGAGGAGAGCAGCAGCTGCGGGGTGTCCTGCTGATTCCTGGGCTTATGAGCCACAGCCATAACCCCTCTGGATGCAGCTCAGAATGTGGTTGGGTAGCTACTTGTGTCAGAATTACCCATGATGCTCATTTAAAAATGCAGAATTTTAGGCCCCACCCCAGACCTGCTAAATCAGGATCCCTGGGCCCAGGGCCCAGGAATTTGCATTCTTACAGGCTCTGCACCTTTGAGTTTGAATTCCCCCTGCCTTAGAGGCTGTGGACAACCCACTTGTCAGTAATCCAATGTGGTTTGTCACACTAGTCCTTTATGCCCTCTCAGCCTACACTGTGCTTTGAAAAATAAAGCCAAAAAAACAAAGAAGTTATTCTTTTTATAAAGTTGATTTTTGGTTGTACCTAAGATGGGAAGCTGCAAAACACAACATTCAAAAGGAAAGAAAAGTCATAATTGTATTTTATTTCTGATTCAGTAAGAGCAGAATGTGTTTCTCAATTTACGCTAGGCTAATAATTAAAATAAGTTAACATTCCCAGCCTCTACACCAGTTGAGGATTAAGAAAGGAGTTGCGGGAGGACGTTAGTCCACAATGAAACGTTTGCTTCATTAACAAGTGGGTATTCCATGTGCAGTTCGTTGAGAATAGTAATTATACTACTATTGTGATTACCTTTAACTCACAATCTTGAGGTTTCTTTTGTTGACTGGCGTAGGGGAGCAATATTGGAGGACAGTGGAAAGTTGTCCACTTAAAGGTGTGTCCTGGCTCGGGGCAGGGGTTGGCCAGGAAGGCCCTTCCAGCCCTGCGGCGCTGAGACTTGTCGAGACCCAGGGCGGTTGTAGCATGCTTGGAGAGGGCCCAACAGCCGCCCAATCAGCCGTCTCATCAGTAGGTGAAATTCAGCACTGCAAAGAGGCAATCATTCAAGGTATTAGTCCACACTTGTTGCTTCCGGAGTTTGTCACAGCCTCCTAAGAGAAAAGATGAGCCATCCCGAGAATAAAGTATTTGTCTACATGTGGGAGCAATCAGAAAAAAGAACCAAGAACAGCAACTGTGACACTGCCTCTAACGTCCTGGAAGGGGTCCTCTGCCCTTTCTGTGCCTTCACATAGATGGCTTCAGGAAGCCGTCTTCGCGCCGCCCTGCACCTGACCCTCACTGCTTGGCGAGGAGAAGGGCAAAAGGAAGTAGGCTCCAGACGAGCCAAGTGCTTGGCACCTTTAAATAATGCCTTGTGTTTGTGCTTTGTCATGATCCCAGCACTCTGGCCGCAGCTGGATCTCCCAGTGGTGGGAAATGAGACCTGGGAGGGTAGGACTGTCGCCAGCTCCCCAGCACAGGGAGGCCCTGAGCAGTCAGCAACTGAGAGCCAGGTTCTGACGGCCACAGGGCAGGAGGTCAAGCCAGCACCTCCTCCCAGTGTGCCCTTTGTTCCTGCAGCACAGGGAGGGAGCAGAGGAAGGCAGCCGAAAGGGTTAGGACCCATCAAGGAGAAAAAAATGTAAAAGGAAGCCCTGTATCTTTCACACAACATGTAATTAACTCTCGGCAGAAGATGCCACGGATTCATAATGGGAGCCGACAGCGGGGGAGGAAGGCTCTGACAAGCATGAGATTTCTCATGGGTTTTTTTTGTAATTTAATTTTTTAAAGGAACATGAACAGTTGCACTTATAACGGTGGTCCTTCAGTGATGGTGTCTCCCCAGCAACAAGCCAGGTCATGCTGTATCCCACCCAAATCCAGCAGGATGAGTGGGAAGGGCTTTTCTGCCTCACAGCTCTCTCCTGGCCCTCATGGCAGCCATTTCTTGTCCTAGGGTGGGTCTGTCAGTAGCCCCTGCTCTGTCAGCCTGCCCCAGTGTGTGAGCCGGCCCCAGAACCCACTCCTCTCCATGACAGCAGTCCTTGGATCACCCGGATCTCCAGCCAGGGGCTCCCAGGGTCACTCGTCTAGCAAAGCCCAGGCCTCCTCCTGAATGCCCTGCCTGTAGGTGGCTGCACGCTGTGAGGAAGGGAGACGCAGCTGGAGAGGAAAGGTGGGGAGCCCCGGGGCGGGGTGGCTGCAGGTGGGCAGTGCCTGGATGTCTGCCAGAACAAGCGGGCCAACCCTCTCCCAGGCACAAAGGGCTCTCTGTGAGGGACACACCCAGCACCATGTGCAATCCCGTTTCTCAACACAAAAGAGGCTCATTCCCAGACCAGCCTGGGTGTGGCCTGTAGGCTGAACCCTGCTTGGGCAGGGCCCCCGTGACTCCTGGTGACCCATCTGGGTGACTTCAGTCCTCATTACAATCTGTTCTGCACATAAAGATGGAGAGAGGCCCGGGTAGGCAGCTTAACTTGACAGGACATGGGCAGCTGCCTCCTCTTCTCGGAAGGAGCCCTCCTAGGTCCACCACACACACACAATATAAACCAACTCGTAATTTAACACTGGATTAAGCTATTAATTAATAGAAGCAATAATGTTAACACACTCTGTCTCACATACACTCACATGTGCGCACATACACACTCACATGCATGTACACACTCAGAGTCCAAATGAGGGAAGATCCCCAACTATACTTGGACTAGTCAACTCTGCTGTGCAGAACGCTCCCCCACAAGCCACTGCCACAGAGAAATTAGACTAGGCGCCAAAGAAATCAGGCTGGGAAGTATGTAACAAGAACCGCCATACTGACCACAGACATAGCTGTCATTTCTCTTCAAAACTCGGAAGTTCTCCCTGCCATGAAGTGCCTCCTCCGTGTGCATGAAAAAAATAAAATAAAATAAAGAGGAAGAAACCTTTGGTTAGGCAAAATAGCATGGAAGGTATCTTGAAATGGTCCATGCTGATGTGTCTTTTGGTGGATCCTGAGGTTCATCTGGGGGCACCGCACCATGCCGTGCCGTGGAAAGGGACTGGTCAGGGAGTTACTTAAACCCTCCCTGGGGCTCATGCGCTTTGTTTTAAAATGAGAGTTGGAGTAGGGTGTCTAACATCTCTTCAGCAATCAGGCCAGGCCTGAAAGCCACAAGGCTGCAGGTCCATCTACCAGAACATGCTGCCCACACAGCTCCTGAGGCCCTGTTGCCTCAGGTGGGCTCTGCAGCCATCTGCAGGGGAAATGGCAGGTCTGGTCCCTCCCTGACCACAGCTAGGGTGGGTGGCAATGGATGAAAAGTATACAGTCTTGCTTTCTTTGTCCTGTGTGTCCTGTGCTGTGAACTCTGAAGAAGACACTCCTTTATTGAACAGATATTTCATGGGTACCATTTAGTACCAGTAAATGAAACAGACAAAATTTCCTGCTCTCAAGGAGCTTACATTTGACACAAAAGCACAGGGGCGTCCCCTCTGTATTCATCTCCCAGGGTGGCTGTAACAAAGTACCACAAACTGGGTGGGTTAAACAGCAGAAATGTGTTTTCTCACAGTTCTAGAGGCTGGATATCCAAGATCAAGATCTGGGCAGGGTTGGTTCCTTTGGAGAGGCTGTGAGGGCTGGGAGGGAGAATCTGTTCCGTTCCCTCTCCTGGCTTCTGGTGGTTGCTGGCGATCTTTAGCGTTCCTCGGCTTGCAGATGCATCACTGCAGTCTCTGCCTTCATCTGTGCATGGTGTTCTCCCTGTGTGTGTGTCTGTGTCCAAACTTCCACTTTTTATAAGGACACTTAATCATCTTGGACTAGAGCCCACCCTAACGACCTCATTAACTTGTTTATCTCTGAAAAGACTCTATCTCCAAAAGAGGTCACATTCTGAGGTACGCGGTGGCGGGGGCGGGGGCAGGAGGGTAGGACTCCAGCATGCCTTTTCTTGGGGGGTGGACACAACTCAACCCATAACACTCTCTATAGAGAAGGGTGGGAAAGTCACTTGCTCTTGAGGAACCTGAAGTCTTCTGCTTCCTCAGGATCTCACATGAATGCATCAGATTGGTGCAACCTGGGTCATGTACCTGTTTACCACTGCAGGGGAGGCTGGGAAATTGAGTTCTGGCTCATCCCTTGGGGAGGCATGGACTTCAAACGTGAGATGTTATCCAAACACAGGCAGAGCCTTCAAGGGATTTATGAGAAGGTGGCCATGAAGCACCACAAAAATCTACGACGCGGGTGCTTTCAGGGTTTCCCCAAGGGGACCCAAGGGCAGAGAAGGAGGACCACGGCTTCAATTTCTCACACTCCCCTTTAGTGCCTGGAATTGTGTGCTGCCCACTGTAGGGACCAAATGGTGGTGACCACAGAGGACACCTGGCAAATCTAGATGTTAGCCAACAAATAACATTTAGTAAGCCTTCGCTACGTGCCAGAAATTTTTCTAAGCTCCTTACATGCATTGCCTCATTTAATCCTCACAACAGCCTTATGAGACAGGGATGATTATTGGCCCCCTTTCACAGAGAGCAAACTGAGGCACAGAGAGGTTAAGGGATTCAACCCAGTAGGTGGGACAGCCGGGATTTGAACCCAGCAATTTCAGTCTGAGACGGAGAGCTTAACCACTGTGCTTCCTAATAGATGGAAGAAGACAATGAAAGATGAAGGAAAACCTCCCCAGCCAGTGTTGAGGGAAGGAAGGTGAGTGCTATTAAGCTGTTGCCCTGCTGTCAAGCTGGGAGCTGGAAGGAGCGGCCCCTGGGTGGCATGCACACTGTCTCACGCTCTCTGAGCCAAGGTAGGTGTGACGTTGGCATGAGGCACCCTGACAAAGTCCTCGGGAATCCTGGGCGGGAGGTGTGGGAAGAGGCGAGAGGGAACAGGGAGGAGAGAACCTGCAGCTGGGGCACTGCAGGGCCAGCCCCAGAGGCTCTGCCTGGTGCGGCTGAGGAGCGCCTGCGTCAGAGGACTCAGCCGGGCTGGGTGAGGGCTGGCTCCCCAGGGAGGGCCCCAAGCTGGGCCCTTGCCAAGCTGCTGCCTGGAGAAGGCCAGCATGTTCCCTAGGGTTCTTCCCCAGTGACCCGGACGAATGGTTGGGCCTCAGAGGGGCCAGGTGGCAGCCAGGGCAGACCCTGCATGCTGAGGTGTATTTGGATGTGGCTCAGGTCCCAGCCGCATGCCTGGAGACAGAGACCTGGGACCTTTGTGCCTGCCCTGGAGGAACCTTGGCCACTCTGGACTCCTGTGACCCTGGACGTTGGAACATTGCTATTTCTGTTACCTTGGGGGAGAAAAGGTGGGAAAGGAGCAGAGGAGACAAAAATAGAAGAGACACATTCTCACAGCCCCAGGCATACCCAACTAGAGATCCCCAGTGGCCCTGGCCTGTAGGATTGGGCTTTGGGCCTCACATACTCCAAGTCCAGAGCCTAATTTCAGGGGTCTACAAACACCAGGGATGCTTGTCATTCACCAGTGAGCCCCCTCTCCGGAAAGCTGGGAGCTGCCTAGCAGCTTCCCTTTCCATAAGGGCAACAGGGTGCGTGGTGGTGGCTAGGCTTTCCTTAAAGAGAACGGAAGAGAAGGTAAAGCGTATTTTCCTTCAACAGCACCAATAATTAGGTAAGAATAGAGGGGTTTCCTACATACAGCAGGACATTTCCAAAGTACAATAGGGTAACAAAAATAAAAGTAAAGGAAAAGAAATTTTCTGCTGGAGGCTTCTATTACAATAGGTACCTATGAAATATATAGTTAATAAAAAGTTTAGTTTCAGAAATGTTTGCAAACATCAGTAGTGTTCCAGAGTTTTAAAACCAGATTAAAATCCACAATAACATGAAAAACACTAATACCTTGCATGTATCCTAATGTCCAAGTGTCTGCCCACAGAGAAGAAGCAGAGAAGAAGGACATTCTTAGAATTTAAAGAGTGAGGGCCAGCTCCATGGCCAAGTGGTTAAGTTCGCACGCTCCACTGCGGTGGCCCAGGGTTCTGATCCTGGGCGTGGACATGGCACTGCTTGTCAGGCCACGTTGAGGCGGCGTCCCACATCCCACAACTAGAAGGACCTGCAACTAAGATATGCAACTATGTACAGGGGGGGTTTGGGGAGATAAAGCAGGAAACAACAACAACAAAAAGATTGGCAACAGTTGTTAGCCCAGGTGCCAATCTTTAAAAAAAAAAAAGAATTTAAAGAGTGAGATGGGCCAGAGTTACCAGACCAAATACAAGATGGCCTGTTAAATTAGAATTCCAGATAAAAGAACGAATATTTTGTTAGTATAAAAGTATGTTCCAAATAATCCATGGGACATACCTGTGCTAAAAAAATTATTCATTGTTTATCTGGAATTAAAATTCAACTGGCCATTGTGTGTTTTTATTTGCTCGATCTGGCAACCTTGGGTGGGCCTCGCAGCCACCCCAGTGGGAGAAGGCAGATGTGCAATTCTGGAAGAAGCTGGCAGGCGTATGCCAAATGACAAGGACTCTAGGGAGGCCAGGCCTCTGACTCCAGGGTTGCCACAGTGGGGCCCTGGGAAAAGGCCTCGGGCCTCCTCTCAGAGCTCTGACTCCCTGGAGGGAACAGGCGAGTCCAACAGCTGCAGAAGCCTTGAAAACAACTCAGGCTTTTCCTGGCATCGCCAGTGCAGGAGAAGACAGGCTCAGGGTTACAACATCTACAAGTGCACCAGGGCCCCAGACCGCACTCAGGCCTGTCTCCCACGGGCTCCAGGGGTCGCCCTGACCTCTGGGGCTATGGTAACACTGCACCATGCCTCAGCTGACCCTGTAAACTCCCCAGCCTGCACTGACTTCCCCTTCAGGCCTGGCTGTGTCAGCCCTGCCCACACTGAATTCCCCTACATTCTCTGGGGCTGAGGTCATTAAACATCCCTGGGCCTTTCCTGCAAGGCTGAAGTGTCAATCCAGGGGCATTAGTTGGGTGACTGGTTACGTTGCCCAAAGGTAGCCTGGGAAGGGGAAGTGTGGGCACCTGCTACCCAGGGGCCCTGGGGAGATCACTGGGAGAAAGTCCATCGGTCTTGCCCCAGAAGGTGAGTGGAGCCTGCCTGCCTGAGGGCTCCGGGCCAGCTGCACACCCACCAGCCTCGAAGGCCCCTCGCTAGCTCTGAAGAGGGGCAGGCCCTTCCTCCCAGGGGGTGTGGGAGTTGCTTTTGTGTCCTTTCCCAGTGAACATGGAGGGGAAAGGGAGGGAGAAAAGGGGCAGGCCTGCCCTGGAAGGTTTCAACTTGAATGTTGAGCCAGAGCATTCACTGGAGTGCTGAGAAAGGAAGGAAGGACAGCTTATGAGCAGAGCATCTCTTTGATAATCTTGTGAGGAGCTTTTAGTCCAATTTTTATAGAAGAAAAAACAGGCCCAGAGAGGTTATGGAACTTTCCTCAGGTCACATAGTTAGTAAGTGGTGGAGTCAGAAAGCCTACCCAGACTACTCTGACTCCAAAACTTGGGCCTATTATATTCCTCTTTGCTGCCCAGGAAAGTTCTGGTCTAGCTCGGAGGAAATATCTACTGTCAACTGTGTTATTCTACTATTGTCAGCTTCCTGCTTCCCCCACTACCTCCAAGACTTGTCTTACAACTGTGGAATTTCCACTAGAAAATGATGCTGAAAGGAAACAGCCATCCTTCTTTGTGTCCATGCCAGCGACTCCATCTTCTGGGCTCTCAACCCTCCTCCCACAGAGCTGAGTGAGCGCTCGGGCCCAGGCTGTGGTGGCCTCAGCATGTTGGGAACTGTCCCCAGTCCCTGCTCTTGCACGTCTCATTTGGAAGTTCCTGACGTTCTGAAGACCAGTCTCATAAATCTGGCTTGTGTGGTTGGTTGAGTTCAGTGACGCTGTGGGATATCGGCTCCCATGATGTCCTCCCACTCCCCCAAGGGATACTAGGGGTTGTCCCTGCCTTCTTAGCCCCCACTGTAGATCTCTCTACACAGAAGGGGTCAAGCCTACCTTATCTTCCCCTTTTGGCTTTGGGCGTTTCTCATGTTCTCTGACACTCCCGCCACCTTGGGTCACTGTTCTTCCCTCTCAACGCCTCACAGCAGTAAGATGACAGGAAACTTTCAGTTTTCTGAGTGTGGTGGTGAGATCGTGGAGGGTAGGATTGGGAGAGACTTGAGGAGAGAGAGCTGGGAGGGAAGAGAGAGAGCTCTGTTACTTCCAATAATGAACTTCACTTGTGTGTTAATTTATTTGCTCATGCATGTATGTTGGCTGGATGGCGAAACACCAGAAGAGATGGATAACACTAGCCAGGGCCCCACACAGCCCAGCTCTTTGCTCAAAGTCTATTCAGAGGCACAATCTGTCAACCAAAAGCCATTACAAAGGCCTTTCAGTCTCTACTTGTGTCTCCTCTGCTGAGGATTGACTCAGTAGTATTACTCAGAAGCACATTTCTTCTGTTACATGGCAGCTCCTCCAAGTCTCCAGAAACATCCAGCCTACACAATGTCTCCTCTTGGTTGGAGTGTGGATTATGGAGCCAGACTGCCTAGTTCTAATCCTGCCTCTGAACCTTATCAGACTTGGGCACATTACTTAATCCCTCTCTGCCTCATATCCCTCATCTCTTATAAGAGCATTGTCTGCTTAGACTTGTTGTGAGGGTTATAATGTTAACAGTCATAAAGGACTTAAAATAGCACCTGGTCCGTGGCAGGCACCATGTAAGTGTTAGTAGCTGTCGTTATTGCTACTATTATGATTATTCTCTCTCCTTTTCTTTTCCTCCCATATCTCCAGTCCTGTCTTTATCAACACAGCATCCTTCCAGAGCCTTCACAGACAGGCTGAGCAGAACCATCCTTAGAGCGTGGTGTGGGTAGGTTGGAAGACTGCAGACTGTCACACGGAAATGAACCTGAGCCTGATGTTTGAGAAGGCGTGGGGACCCCTACAGATGATTCTGAGGTGGGAAGGAGCAAGTCGGCCTCCGCCTTACTGGAATGGATGAAAGACCTCATGCCTGCAGGAGGGGGCACGTCTCCTGGTGGTGAGAGAGAGCTTCTGTGTTAGGTCCAAACAGTTTGGAGGAAACTAGTCAGTCAGAGGACTGCTGAGTGTGTCCAGCTGGAGGTTGCAATCAGGATACATATGCAACAGGCCTCTAGTGGTTGACAGGTGGTCCCCCAAAGATATGTCCACGTCCTAGCCCCAAAGACCTATGATTGTAACCTTCTTTTGCAAAAAGGTCTTTGCAGATGTAATTAAGAATCCTGAGATGAGTTCATCCGGGATTATCCAGGTGTGTCCTAAATCTAGTGACAAGTGTCTTTATGAGAGCAGAAGAGAAGAATTCACAGATGAAAGAAGGCCATATGAAGACAGGGCCAGAGAGCAGAGTTATGCAGCCACAAGCCAAAGAAAGCCTAGAGCCACCAGAAGCTGAAGAGGCAAGGAAGGGAGATTTTGGAGAGAGTGCAGCCCTGCTGACACTTTGACTTTGAATCTTCGGCCCCCAGAACTGTGAGAGAATAAATGTCTGCTGTTTTAAGCCACCCAGTTTATGATCTGTGATGACCGCTGTAGGAAACCAATGCCAGGACCAACTGCAAAACCCCACCTAGAAAGAAAAAGATAAAAGGGTGTGGTCTGACGTGAGGAAGACAGAGAGAAGTGAAACTCAAGGGATCAATGGGGGACTTTGATCAAGGGCCTTCCTTGTGTATGACAGTACAGGCTGTGCACTGCACCACAGAGGTGGGGGGCGCCATTTACAGCACGGTTGTAGATTGGAATATTTATTGCTCTGTTTTTTCCTTTAGGGGTCAGTGAAGTGTCTTGAGGAAGGGGTGCCTTTTCCCAAAACGCATAAAACCACCCTATGACCTTCTTGGGTTTTGGTGAGAAACATCTAGATAGTGCTGTCCAATAAGACTGTCTGCAAGGATGGAAATATTCTATGTGCATCATCCAATACAGTAGCCATGAGTCACATGTAGTTCATTTAAATAGTGACCTGTGGCTGGTGGCTACCATATTGGGCACACAGCTCTAGGACAAGAAAATAGAAGCTCGGGACTGCTGACGCAGAATTTAGTCACCAAAAGCATGGCCACTATTAATTCGATATTGTTCAGAGGCCCCTCTGCGACTGCACTCCTGTCGAGAGGCGGAGGGGGCCAACAGGGACAAGGTGGAGGTAGTGGTGGAGGTGGTGGCAGGTGGCAAGGAGTGTGGAGAGTGTGAGAAATGCCCAACCGGATTGGAGCAAGGACCAGCAACAGAAGGAGAAAGAGAGAAAGGCTTGCCTGAGCAGGTAAGAGGGTCCTCTCCAATCCGCTTGGTAACCCTTTCTGAATCTGTCAGCTGTGAAGTTGGCTGAACTCTTTTGAAGCTAAGTTTTCATCTCTCAATTTGAAATAACGGACTTTTACATGGAGATAATCATAGACATGGGCAGGGGCTGCCAATCTGGGGGCTCCTGGGCCTCAGGGTCATTCACTCCTTGAAAGGGGTCTTTTGGGGAGCGGGTCTGTTTAAGCTCCCAGTCAACTCTGCTATGGGAAGTTGGGAGCCCTCCCTGTATCTGCCATCCCATGTCACCTGAATGCAGCTGCATGTGAGCAGGATGTGACATCAAAACTCCTGTTTTAAGTGCCAGAGAGCAGGACAATTACCCAGCTGTGGCTTCAACCCTTGAAGGGACCTTAAGACTTCTCCGAGGTGGGAGGAGAGGTCTAGTACGTCATTTGGTGATCCTCACACTCCCCCTCCTGTTGGCAAGCAAGGAGGATGAGTTTACTGGAGACTTTTAGGGGTGAGTCCTAGCCAGGCAATGAGGGCCTGGCTGCTCCTGCAACATCAGCACCACCTGGGAGCTTGCTAGAGACAGACTCTCAGACCCGCCCCAGGGCTGTGAAATCAAGACTCGGTTGTAACCAGATCTCCAGATGAACTGGGTGCACAGCAAATCCTGAGAAGCACTGAGCTAGAATAAGCCCCGTTACCTGGCG